GACTCAATCTTTTTATATTTAATAACTTTTTTTTCAAAAAGAACTTACTGATTTTAATACTCACTGTGAATTCATATCTTCTACTAACTGGGTGAGCTTTTTCCAGGGATTATATTCGGAGTCAATGCTATAAAGCCGCATATGTAAGGCTAATACATGGAACAGCTGATCTAAATAAATTGAAGAAAACATAATTAAAACATTTACAGAATTCTTCACAAAAGTTATAGTTAACTCATAAGGAAATCTACTTTCTACCCTGCCCATTAGTATCCATCAAGTTTAAGTCCCAATTATTTCACATTCCTGGGCCATAGAGATGGCTTAGTGGAATAAGCACTTCCCTGGCAAGCGCAAGGGCCTGAGTTCAATCCCCAGTTCAGGGGAAAAAAAAAAAAAGCAAACAACTAGAATCTACAATACCACCACACCCAATTATTTCACATTCTTTTTTTTTCCCCAATGTACTTGGTATGGTACAGGTTCTCACTACACAGCGTGGACCCATAGTGATCCTCCTGTTTTCAGCCTCCCAATACTGGGATTACAGGCTTGGGCAACCACACCCAGTCTCAGTGGACAGACAGCTCAGCAGGGCGGGGGGGGGGGGGGGAGGACGGGACGGGACGGAACTGAGCCCCAGTCCCTGCACTTGCCTAAGCAGGCCTTAGTTCACTGAGCTATCTTGCCAGCCCTGCATTCTCTTTTATGGTAAACTCTGACACATTTATCCAAATGATTTCCACTAGAATCTAGATTATCCTCAGGCTCAATATGAATTCAGGAATGTTTGTTTTCTTCCACTCCTATAACACACCTTTTATGAGACAGCCTTGCCAATTTGTACTATTCACTATTAGAGTTGTCTCCTAACCAAAATTTTCTCCTATCTTCAGTATCTTTCCAATCCATCTGTGAAGTGAATCTACTGACATCTCATAGTTGTTTGGTGGACCACTGAAGAAATGAGTGCGGAAGTCCTTCAACAAGCTAGGACCTGTCTTCTTTTTGGCATATTTCTTAACCTTCCTTTTTCCTTTTTCTTGTCAAATATCCCCAATGTGTCATGTCTCATTCTGTCTTTGCAAGCTGTTCTCTCAGCCCACAACAGTACTATACCATTTTTGTCTTCCAAATTCAATCTACCTTTCAAGAGCTATTTCATGTGCTCCTCTGTAAGGTTTTTCACCTCAAAAAATATGATACCTTCTTTTATATAGTTTCTGTATCTTGAGGTCAATTTTAGCAATTCTGACATAATCTTGTAAATATTTTTCACTATTTCCTCTCATTAGATGCTGAACTCTTCCTGAAGAACACAGTTGTAGCTCTCTATCTTTGTTCCTCGAGGCATAATACAAAAGATTTTCTCAAATTAGCGTGAATACTGTATAAATAAATCCATACTCCTATAAAAACAAGCATAAAACCCATGGTAGTTTCATTTCTCTATTCTTCCCTTTCTTGTCATAATGACACACTGGTTCAGTAACCAAGTAGGCCAATTAATCAGCTTTAATTTCACTGCACCAAAAGAAACAGAACTCTCCACTCTGATTAGTGTTTGACCTATTTGCTCCTACCACCTTCTTTCCCATGCTGGCTTCTGCAATAACTCACTTGAGACAAAGAATTACATTTTCTTTAATACCTAATTAAATTCTTCACAACTGTGACAAGTCTAGGCATTAGGGGAGCTTAAAGCACCTACTTGGGCAAGCTCAGTCAGGTGCAAGGGACTGCAGTTCGATCCCCAGCTCCACAAGCTGCACCAAACTCACCCTTAGGCAGCCTGAGCTAGAAAAAAAAAAAAAAAAAAAAAAAAAAAATCCCTTTCCTAAGGCATTAGAACATGCTTAAAGCCTGCCAGATAGCTCAGCGGATTAAAGCACCTGCTTAAGGCAGACACAAGTACTGGTGTTCAATTCCATCTGCCATGCAGGCCCCACCCCCAGGGTGCGCTGAGACAGCAATT